ATTACAGTCACAATTAACTGATAAAGCAAATGTGATTAACCTCTGATAATGACTGATAACATGAATCATGGTCTAGAAAAATACATAATTAGGAACTATGTGTGATATGAGATATGATACTAGAATATTAATTATACATATATATACGATACATTTATGTTTATTTTGTATGTTTATCGCTTCTGATATGGTATATATCTATAGAGCAGTAGGTATGGACTATGTTATCTTCACAAATTCCTTAGTTTGTCCTATTAATCATACTAAACTTATTTACGAGGTGAAGATAAATGCCTAGGAAGTAAATAAGTAACCTTACAACAGGATTGATACGCTAATTTTTCAATTTCAATTTATTGTTTCAAAATGTTCGTAATATGATAAAATAACTTCAGCAATCGGCTTCGCTCGCGTTTCCGTGAAGTAAAAAGTGGCCAATGCGTTATTCTTATTCCAGACCATAATCTTCCCCACTTTTAAATTTCATTACGATCCTTTCAGCCGTTTTGGCGTGATTGCGTAACAAACATACAAACAAACACAAAGTTTCACATTTAGGTATAACTACAGTAATATTTTTTTTTAAGGGGGGAAAATCATCGAATGACTGCTCCCGCCTGGGTGAGGCGGGAGGGAGTGTCAGACTCTTACTGACTAAAAACCACCCCGTTCCTTCTCCTGCACGTCGAGCCGGAGCACTGGTAACCCGTTAGGTTCTCCGAGACAACTATAGTAATATTGCGCCTTAAAGAGCTATCAGACCACCACAGATGGGGCCCAGTAGGATTTATGCCGGATGATACGTAGTCGCGGAAGGCCTAACGGGTTGCTGGGGCTCCGGCTCGAAGGCGTAGGAACGGGGTGGTTTTTAGTCACTAAGAGTTTTTAGTCAGTAAGAAAGAGACTTCCTCCCGCCTCACCAAGGCGGGACCAGTCATTCGATGATTTTCCCCCCTTAAAAAAAGGTATAACAAATATTAGTAAGATAGAGAAACAATCTTCGTACTACCTACTTTTATTTATTTCATGGAAGATACACAATTTTCTTATTGATTTACATCGTAAACAAGGACGGTTCTTTATCAGCAAGTAATGCAAAAAGGTGGCTTATCGAAACATTGACATTGGACACGTAGCGTTATCAATAAATACGAGTTCTTGTGCGAATTATGTCATACAGTATTATTTTAATATTTACTTACATTAAATAAACAAGTTGCTAATAAATATTGCATAGAAAATGCACTCAGCTTATGCTAACGGCATTCTTGTTTCGCAATTATTTTATATTAATAGGATTAAGTTTTAGTTTTGTTATTTTCTGTCACAGCTGTGTATGTGGCCCGTTATATTGTAGATAAAAAGAAATGTACCATCCCGTTATATGAATCATTTATGTAATTAAGTGTGTGATCGTATACATAGATATTGTCTATATATATGTATATATTTTGAGGCATAAAAAAATAAAAATTACGAATTTTACGAAGAAATATTTCTGGTGTCCAACGTCTTTACAATTTTTTTATATAATATAGTATATGTCTTTTATTATAATATAGTTTTTAAGATTAAAAAATAAGTTTACTTAATTGTTGTAAAATTCTCATCGAAATCACATCCTTTTTTGCGACAACCCTGTTACCTGCGTACCCGCAGGTATGGCAGTAGGCGTGCGTTGGCGCAGTGCATTGAGCCAAGAGTTAGAAAAAACCAAACAATGCTGGCGCCACGCTTTTTGTAACCCGCCTGTATAGACACCTAAATTCATTAGACGCTAATTTAATTTAATTACCTACTTACTTAAAATAATACTAAGTATTGTATATTTTCTTTTTTATATATTGCTAATATATTATATCTATTGTAGGTTGTATTGTAGGTATTTTTATTATGTCTCTTTTTTTATTTTTATGTTTTTATTGTACACGTAACTACCCCTTATCTGGTTTCTTACAAATATTTCCATCCAAAGGTTGTCTGGAAGAAATCACCATTGTGTGATAAGACCGCCCATTGTACGCATATTTACATGAATTGTTTGTTTTAAGCTACTTAAATGTGTACAGTAAAGCATATATAAATAAATAAATAAATAAGTACTAAAATGCCTTGTGTTTCAAAGTCGTGATAAAGAGTAGAAAGTCAAGGAAATACTTAAAATATTCATTAAGTAGTTAGGTACCTAATTTTAAGTTAGGATTACGTATTATATCCTTCCTGTCCAACGTTATCGGTTTAATTCATAATGTCAATAAACCTCGTTATCGTTTGTGGCTTAATCGAAATTATATTAGCTCAGAGGCAGGTACCGAAACCAGAGGACCCGGTGCCCTCTTATAAGTGCTAGTGATGATCTGATGATGAAGTAAGAATCCCGGCCCGCACAATCTAATCCTTCTCCATTTTGGAGACTCCCTCTGAAACCAAAGAGGTACCGAAATTGCAACTTTTCCCATTAAATCCGTCAATTCGAAAGCCACCTCGTACAGTCGTTCATTGACACTATAATATTATGTCTCCTCTTCTATGAAAAACAGGCATGATGTGATATTGAATCATCTTTTAAAATTGCGGCGATATTGCACTTAAATCAGAAAACAACCTCCATTCAACATTTCGGATGTTCACTTCCAGATCTTATCTTTCAATTACTGCAACGAGAATATACTGCGACTAGAAAATTTGACCAATTACCTACACCTGGATTGCTTAGTTCTCATTGTCAAGGTTACCTTTAATAGTGGATATAGTATCTGGCAAATTACTGTTGCATTAGACAATCCTGTGACGAATGTTCCAACTAACTATCCACTTTGAAACTTCAGTTTAGAAAACAGTAGACACGTATAACATGTTATTTTCACAAGCCGGTAATATACGGTACATTAAAATAAGATCTATGTATTTCATCTTAGAATTCTTAGCACAATGCTCCAATTACGGGTAATAATACTATCTACCGCAAAAATGATATTTCTAGATTACAGCTATCAAAACATTATTGTTACAACCAACTTAATTAAGAAAACTAGGCTGGCAGCGATTTCTGAAAGTAGCAAACGAAAGCTTAATCGATTACGGGCGGCCATTTTTTATCTAATAATTTAATTAAAATTATTCACAGCTAAGACAAACAGTTTTCTGTCAGTTTTAATCTTAATCGTCATAGTTTGTAAATTAATGATGGATATTTATTATTTTCAAGCTGTGCTACTTACACATTTAGCTAGCGAAACATTTTGTACGATTACCTGTTAAAATAATGAGAAGTCTCACGCGAAAAGGCTAGAACTCGGTCTAGATACAAATGTTCTGTATATTCAGCTAATTTGCTCACGTTTTCGCTGGGTAGACGTATTATGATGAATCTAGGTCTCATTAGACTAAAGAGGTCTAGTGTTAAAACGCGAACGTGTAGACGATTCATTACTAAAATCTATTTGTAATGTTTTTGTGTCTGTCGGCTTTTCAACACGAGTCTTTATAGGTCTTGTGTTCATAGATTCACTTTTTTATTTGACTGTCAATATTTACGGTCGACAGAATGTTACTGAGTTATGATTTGGAAAATTAATAGGTACTTTAACTGTTACAAATGAGGGTATTAATTAACATTTTGGTTTACATTTCCGGTAAAAACTGGTGTGATAATCGTGTCACAGAGCCCAAGAAACGAGTTGCCATTGGATACATTAGTGGCTTGTGAAATTGTAATCAGTAAAATTGTACTTTAGTTCAAATACCGATTGCAAAAAGCAAACATGTCACATCAGACAGAGAAGCTTAAATACGTCGCATACCACGGACGAAAAAGGAGAAATGACTAATATCCAAACCCATAAATCCCAGGGTCATTATATTACTAAAAAAGTAAACAATAAAAGCACAATCACATCAATTGAATTGCCCAATTACAGTCGGGTCAACAACCCTGGCGTTAAGCAAGCAAGCGGTGTTTTTTTGCAACCCACTCTATACTTGTCTTAACTTACGAAATTATTTACAAATCCTTATCATAGTGGGTCTGATTGCTAATTCAATTTGTGAACTTGATTGTTATGTAGACACCAGCATGATAAAGTATACTAAAAAGACAACGTTCTTCAATGTACTTTCGATCTTAGCCCTAAAGTATAACGTTGAAAATGGATTAAAGATATGAGATAGATTGAAGTAGTTCGGTTAATGTCGCCTGATAGTACTTGTATTTTATTTACTTACAAGCCTAGAGTGGTTCTTCAAAGACAAGCTGTTGACACACTCTTTGCTGTTTTTTATAAGTATTACATTGCCATTTTTATGGGAGTTATTCGTTTAGCCTTGACATGCAAAGAGCGTTTGTGAATTATTGACACTGTTTCGTGTCCTACTTAACCTAAATTATGGGTAAGGTGTAACGTAATTAATGTTTAACGTCAACTAACACGTTTGTGGCGTTGATCTTTGGTTATTCAATCATCAGATGACTTTTGAAAACTTGACACGAAAGTAATGAATTTTGTACACTTAACAGTTTGACTGCCGACAGTAAACTGTTGAAGGTAAATCCTCGGCTATCGTGGCCCATACCTTGTCCCCCATGGCGTTCAATGTTAAAATAAAAAAGTTCCTAATCAATATCAACCATTGTCAACCCTGTTAACCAACACAACTACATAATATTATATAGAGGACAAAGTACCAGCCATTTATATGTTCGTTTGTGTACCTTAGACTTCTTGCAAAATGTAATGTAAGCAGACCACCATGGATGCGGCCTAATAGGGCTGATGCAGAGGAGAACGTAAAAGGTTACCAGGGCTCCAGGAACGGGATGGTTTTTAGTCAGTAAGAGTCTGACACTCCCTCTCGCCTCACCCAGGCTAGAGAATTCATTGAACGATTTTCCCCCCTTAAAAAAAGACTTCTTGCAATACATCAAACGTCCGTAGTTATTTACAATTTACATATCAACTTAAAAAGTGGTACCTATCTAATCTAAGATCTGTTTGTTCCAGCATAATGACTATGTCGTGGTGACAACGGCGTGATGATGAGGCTCGACGCACCGGAGAAGCAGCACAGATACCACAATCTGTTGCACGACGACCATGCCAGTGAGTACATAATTATAAACCATAGATAGCACTTATTATAAAAATATAAAGTCTGTGAGTCCAGGCTGGCACAGTTGTCCCACATCTAAGCGGGTCCTTCTTCTTAATTAGAAGGAAGAAACAATGATTACTTAGTTATCTATTACAGAATTTTGCTTGTAATATTTTTCTTCGCCATATATCAGCGCAGTGGTAAACTTAAAATTTGTCTCTGATGCTAGCGTAAAGTCATACTTTATTTTTTTAATTTTATTAAGCCCCGAGCTACGAGCGTTATAAACATAAATCTCCTCACACGGAACGCTGGCGAAGTGGACCGTCTTTGTTTCACTTTTTTCTTCGTTTTCTCAAAAAAGTGAAAATTTTAAGAAAGCTAATTATGTACGTTTGTTAAAAATGTTAAAAAATATTCACTGCAAGTAATTTTAACTGAATTTGCTGCGAATATGAAATAGCATTCTTAATGGCAGTCGAGTGTTATTTCTGAGATTCCCTGTTATTTTTAGCCCTTAGGAGTGACATCAAAATCTTTAAAAGAACTTATAGTTAACTTTAACTTATATAATAATATATTATGTACGTCACTGATGTTTAAGTACGTATGGAATCATGCAAAAACTATAATTATAAAGGTCTAATTACACAGTGCCTCAGCTGACAACAGCAAATACATTTACTACAAAGTAAATACGTTCATAATTACATATAGCGCTGACAATTTGGCAATCACTGTAATTATAACTGGTAATTACCATTTACGATGCTTATCGAGTATAATGCAAAGGTCTCCAATTGTCATGAAGGCACAAAAGTCATATTTTTATTGTCTTATTTTCCCAAGACTGTCATTGTTAGAAACTGAGCATGTTACTTTGTACTGGTATGAAGTTCAAAATTATTTGTATTGTAACTTTCGTGAGACATACTAAATAAATTATTATGTTTTCGGCTTACTCCCGTAATAATTTGACGAAGAACTCGAAGCCATGCTAGAGGCTCATCATATTCATGAGCAGCATTTTGCGACCCGCGACGCGGCGACTGTCACGCTGCTACTGGCTACTCGAGTCTACGGGCCCAAAATCAAAATGATTGTTCAAAATGTTATATGCAAATATTTATATATCATTTTTCTATTTTTTACGCTATATTTCTGACCAACGTTTCTTGTCAAGAGGCCTATTTTCACACAGTACATGGAAAAAAAAAACATTTTTTTTTTGCTTTATACGATTACGACCTGTATTTTCATTATGAATGGTTGTTCTCATAATAATATTTGCTTTAACACTCATTCATAAACCATGTTATAAACAAGGTCAATCACATAAAACCTATACTTTAGTTACATCAACTTGAACTTGGTGTGCAGTTATTATTTTTTTGTTGTTACAAAGTTAATTACAGTTCATTACCATCATATTACAACGTGTTAAGTTATTTTATTGAATGTAATATGATAATGCTGTAATTATACGTTATTACATATAGCAAAGTAGTCGCTTTGGATTCGTCACTAAATGTATTTAATGGAGGCACTTATTTTGATAAAGCCTTGATCTTTGAAAAAGGTTTGACAGGTTTTGTATCTCGGTTTTATCATTACTTTTCATTTTATTTTTAAGCCTTATTTGTCTGAATGCCTTTATCCAATGATTTGCAGTCCTTATCGGTATTGGCCAACTTGTCCATTGACGATTTTCACGTGGTGCTATGTTTCAATGAATATTGAGGGACCTAAGACATGGCTCTTGTGATACAGGGATACCTAGTATAGAAGCTAGGGCTTCACTGTGTTAATTCTATGGAGAGCTAATAAACGTTTTTTTTTTATTTTGTTTTATTGAAGTAGTCGCCAATCGAGATCTGTTGAACTGCGAGTGTTCTTTTAGAAACAATGTTGTTCATATGCATAGTACACCAGTGTAATTTAACAAAACCAGACAGATATTCTGTGTTATCAAATTATCAGTTCTTTAATCAACAATTATCCAGTAATAAAGTTAGTTTTCATTTACGATGTGACTGTACACAAACGTAAGACAATGTCATGTCGAGGGAACTAGCAGTAAAACGCATATACGTGGGAATCTCGACATACAATACTATGCTGATACCATGATATATAAACATTGAACATTTATGGGAAACCTTAAATACAAACAAACGCATTAATATCAGAGAATCAGAGGATTGAATATTCCTGCGCTTTTACTGTTTATTGTCATGCTTTCTTTTTAACTGACTACACACAATAGCTATCTTGTCTTTAACCTTTAAGGCTGTCGCTGAGAACCTAACGGGTTACCGGGGTTCCGGCTCGACGTGCAGGAGAAGGAACGGGGTGGTTTTTAGTCAGTAAGAGTCTCACACTCCCCCCGCCTCACCCAGGCGGGAGCAGTCATTCGATGATTCTCCCCACTTAAAAAAAAAACCTTTAAAGCTTTAAGCTTTTCGCTCGCCTTCCCTGGATAATAGCTTATGTAACCGAATTTCATTCGGTTCCGTTTTTTTAATAAACGTTGCCCCGCACTAGGGTTTTCTCTTATGTCGTGGGTGCGTTTACAAACATACAAGTTCACATGACACTAAGACCTGGAACAACAATTTGTGAATCACACAAAATGTTGCTCCGTGAATCGAACCCGCGACACGTTACGTGTCAGCCGGTTACCAGCCACCGCACGGCGCACCAACAGTGCAACCGTCCGGTAGTTACTGCGTGCAAAAGTAACTAAATTGGTTCTCATAAACTTTAACTAGGAAGTACTGGTTATAGAAAGTAGGATTTAATTTAAACAGCCTTCCCATCTTCTCTTCACAAATATTATAAAGTCAGTCTAGCACATAATGTCAGTAATCTGCATGCGCATGCAGCGACGCTACTTACTTACTATACATTTCTATGCATATTATTTTGTAATACGTGAGCTGAGAATTTTCACAAAGATTTCCTTCACGAACAAAGCCACGACGCCCACGACATCTGTCTACATTTACAAGTGAACTGTATACATGTCGAGGAAACTAATTACCATTTGTATAGATTCGAAACAGAAAATGTCACAAACTGGCATATATTGTCATTATAATGTACCGCACCCGTATTTTCTAAAACGATAAGAGCAAAAGTCACCCATTGTCAGTACTTTGGCAGGTGATGTAATATATTTTTACTAGCCCTAACCACTAAATCCAGCGCGGGCCTGCGGGGGGGGAGCATGGGTGGCTCCCCGTCCGACCAGAAACAGACCCGAGCGTACGGCGCCTCGCGTTCCGCGCGCGCCTCAAAGAGCCATCAGACCACCACAGATGGGGGGGAATAGGGCCGATGCCGATTCGGAGTCGCGGAGGACCTAACGGGTAACCGGGGCTCCGGCTCGACGTGCAGGAGAAGGAACGGGGTGGTTTTTAGTCAGTAAGAGTCTGACACTCCCTCCCGCCTCACCCAGGCGGGAGCAGTCATTCGATGATTTTCCCCCCTTAAAAAAAAACCACTAAATCCAAGTTTCTTTTCCACTCACTGGCATATCAGTTGAGCTGACCAAATTGATCATACTAAAACAAACTACCTAACATGATTGTTTTAACTTTCTCTACTTTCATTCCATACAAAAGTCATAAGACTTGTAACATAGGGGTCGTGTATGTCGAGGCAAGTAATATTATGACCCATTGTAACCCATTAGGACAGACAATAACCCCTCATGCGCACCACACCTCACTTCCGCCGTGGTTTCCTGCGTTTTGTGTGCGGGAAACGAACCTGTGACGTTCCGCGTCGTCGATTACAACCACTTGGCTAATGAGTTGCCCATCGATATTATTTTGTTTTTATTTTGAACATTTTTCCAACAGGAATTGAGTCATACTTTCCAAAAATAACTAAAAGAAAGATTTAAACAAACCCTGTGATTCTAAGAAACCTTTTTGGTACGAAATTTACATAAACATAATGCACATTCAGAGAAATGCCCAATAAGGAAAAAATACAAAAAGTTCATTTAACCCTTTGGTCAGATCAATAGGTCGTTGACCGATCAGTCCTTTGAATGCAACAATCTAATCCGGTGCTCACTGACCTCTGCTCTCTGCTACAGTCTGCATCGAATCGTGCGCAGGTTACCGCAGGTTGTTGCTCCACATCCATGCTCCAGAATCCTCCACAATAAACATTTCTGCAATTTAAACGCACCAACAATTGAATTAACGACTCATTGTCATTGTGCAACTGGTTGTCATCGGATACCGCTGTCGTGTGTAATTATGATTGGCGACCCTGGCCCGGTAGCCATGTTGCCAATATGGCCGCCCACGTGACGCGTGCGCCTTTGAGCCTCTGATCTGAACATAGATTTCAGGTCAGATATGACAATTCATTGTTCTATACAACTGTAATTACCTTCACTTAAACAAGTTGTCATGTTACTTGCCTGAACTAGCAGAGATAATATATGAATATGAATGTACTTGATATAAGTACGTGTGAGCCTTCATAGTCCACTAATTACAAGAGCATACATGTAATAAATAACTTCTCAGTTATTACCGTGATTGTAAACGAACATAGAAAACAATACAACTTCACCATTTTATATTAGAAAGTCCTATAACTAAAATTACTTACCGGAAGATGCACAAACGCATGTCAATAAAAGTAAACGAGCAATCAACTGTAATGATTTCCTCAAGTCTTCAGAAACTTACGTAAGATATAATGAACATGGAGTAAATGTCAAAGGGAAGAAGATGAGAATACTTTTATTTCCTGACACATACCGGACACAATTATTGAACGTTTTGGCTTGAAATCTGTGAAGGTTAACAACCAGTCAAAATGTATCAGATCTCTCAATGACGCAATAACTGCTCCTCCTACTGAACTGTACCTTTTACCGCACTTTGAACTTTCTGCGTAATCTAGGTGTGAGTTTCCGCGACACTGAGCACCGTTAGCCTCGGAAGGTAGACAATACTATTACGCTCTCTAGAGATTTCTT